TGTTTATCCTGGCCTGCTATATGGTTTGGAAATGGTGTGTTACAGATACAGCAAAAAGCAACATACTGCAGAGTGTGGCAAGCAAGCAGAGGGGAGACGGAGATGCACAGAAGTTAGGGAAAAAGATGAATGTGATACTCTGTGAAAGGCCAGAGAGCACATGTTTGAGGGACATATGATAAGAATGGGAAAAGAACTGCCAGCAGCGAAAGCATTATTGCAAGAGGATAGCCAGGAAGAGTGTGGAAGATGGGACACAATGGAGCTACCAAGTAGTCTGAAGAGAAAAGGACTGGAACTCCAAGTAAATGGGAAAAGGAGTCATGAAGTGAGACTTTGGCTTGGTCTCTAGACTCAACATTTTATTAATAATTATGCCTGTTTGGAGTGTGACGTACTTAACCCCCCCCCTATACATTTTAGAAATGTGTGTCTGTCCATCCATCTGGAAGTCTGTTTGTTCAAGAACTCCTTGTAAATGGTAAGAACTAGGACCTCCAAACATGTAGGCAGCTTCCTCATCAGAACTTAAAGCAAGGTCAGGGTTTGGTTGTGTTAGGTTAATGGGATGGGCCTGGAATTTGATTGTTTCTTCATACAATGGAAAGGGAAGGATCTTGTAGGAGGGAGTTATACTGTAGAATGACCACAGGGGGCAGCAAGGGGTGAGATGGGGAACAGGACAGCTCACTGGGCCAGCAGAGGACAGGGTGGAGAAATGGAAGTGTGTGTGTGTGTGTGTGTGTGTGTGTGTGTGTGTGTGTGTGTCTGTCCGTCCGTCCCAGTCCCAACTGGGGGACATGCATCCCACTCCTGGCTGTGCCTACTGCAGCAGCTATGGGCAAGCTGGAAGAACTGCTGTTCACTAGTGACTTGTTTCTGAGAAATATTCATGCTAGGTTTGCAGAATGTAAATCAGTTTTCGTCTTAACTCTTACCCCTGGACACTCCCCCACCCTCCGAAAAAAGGAGCAGCCAATGATCCATCCTGCTTGGCACCTTGACCATCTTTTATTGTTTATATCTATGTGTCTTGGCTCCCCCCCCCCCCCCTTGGTGGGTTGTATGTTAACCAGTGGCGCTCTACCTTTCCAGACTACTGTATCCCTTTCTGGAGTCTGATTGTCTGCCTACCCCCAAGTTTCACCTCACTTAAAAAAACAATTTGCTACAAAAAAAGAAAAAAAATCAGACCTAGAAATGCATAAGCATCACAGCACATTGTTATTGAGAAACAGCCCACTTTCTCATCTTTACCATATAATTACACAATACATCAAATGGAATAGAAACGCTGCACTTGCATTTCAGCGTACAGAGCAGTATAGACAAGTCATTGTCTGCACGGCATTTTAGATGGCACTGACTTCGCTAGTGCCCTTTAGGTGGCCTGTTGTAAAACAAGGCAGAAATATCTAGATGGGTTGATGTGGCCCCTGGAACTCTTCTGTACACGTACGGGGACACATACCCTGACTGGAACCACGGATTAAGCTATAAGGGGGGGCACATGGAAGGCTCAAGTACAAAGTGATCTCTAACTCTGACTGCTTATTCAGGCCTGATTTCTAGTGGTACTGAACCCAGGCAAATGTCCATGCCTTGAAAGACTGGTCCGCTCTGGCTGCAGACACAGTAATTATGCTTTAATCCATATGGCTAGAGAACCTGCGGTCTTGAGAGCTTAAACCATTTTAAAATGTTAAGTCAGCCTCAAACCCCCATGTGAGGGCACATCTATACTTACAGGAAGATGGATGCTGCAGAGGTCGATCTTCTGGTGTTTGATTTAGCAGGTCTAGCACAGACCCCTCAATCGAATGCTGAGGGCAGTCCCCGCCAGTGAGCAGTACTCTTCCTTCCACAAAGAGTAAGGGAAGCAGATAGGAGCAGGTACTTCTGTCCACCTTCTGCTGCGTGGATGCCACCACGGTTTGGCTTAAGGTAAGCAGACTTTAGCGACGTATTTTGCCGGGCCTAAGGCTGGTGAATATTATCCACCCCTTTCAGATGGGGAAAACTGAGTCCCATTGGTGATGTAATTTGCTCAGCGGCGGAGTGGCTGAGTAAATGGAAACCTGGATTCCTGGTTCCATTATACACACTCCCTTTAAATAATACACACTCCGCCTGCTTTTTTTTTTAAGCCAGTAGAAATGCTTGTTGGAAATGGGATTAACTGGGCCCTAGTGGGCTCTACCACCAATGCAATTACAAAGAAGGTTGTTTATCAGCAAAAGTAGCAGCTCAGGAATTCCAACAGTAATCTTGTTTTCAGAATCATTTCATGGTTTAGACCTGGCAAGACATACTGCATATGTGATCTTACAGCAAGCAAGGCAAATAGATGCAGGTTTCTTCTTGGAGTAGTGGCTACAGTAGCAAATTACCCAGAAATAGTCTTAAGTATTCTTTTCTCCTCTCAAAGAAACCTAGTGACTGCATCTCAAACCCTATGCTGGGGAAAATTGTTCTAGGCAGGTGGGGGATAATAGGAGACAGTAATTTACTCTCTGGATGTAATACTTAGTTAACATTTCCAGAGTATTTCAAACACGTGAATCAGTGTTTTCACAATTAAAAATTATAGATAAATGATAGCCAATCTTGGTCTGGAAAGAACCCCCTTTCAAGTACTGAAGGTTCTGTATATCAAAGAAATGTAAAAAGACCACGGGCTAACCTCAGGTTGAAACCAGGAGGGAGGCTGTAATGATTTGGGAGAAGAGAACAGTCCAGGAGGCTTTTTCCTTAAAAGTAACCAGGCTGACTTTTCTGTCACAATCAGAGAGTAACCAGGAAAAAACCTCCTGATGCAGGGTGTCCTATCACAGTTCCTACTGCGGAGCACATCCCATTTGAAAGCATCCTTCCCTTCTCCCAAGAGGGGCTAGGCGGTTTTTTGGTTTAGTTATGTTGGAAAAGCAGCAGCCAGTTGGTGACATATCATGGCCCAAGAGGCCAAGGAAGGGCTAGTCTGGAGTCAGTCATTAAATAAGGGCACAGACCCAGTCCAATGCGACAATTGGGGCTTCTAAGCTCTTATGGAGAATAAGTTGAAGACCAATGCAAAGCAGAGGGCAGGTAAGCTAATGCCCCAGGACAGTGGGGGGGACGAGAGGGAAGAACAGAACTAATAGAACTTAGCACTAGAGCTGATTAAGTGATTTTTTTCAGTTCAGCCCCTCCACACCCTGCATTTCAAAGCAAACTTGAAGTGTGTGTGGCGGGGGGAGGGGAAGAGTACTGGCAAGACAGAACACCAATGAAACCCCACCCTGTATTTGGGTCAAGCAAAATGTTTTGAATGTCTAATAAAAATGGACATTTCAGAGGGTTTTTTTGAGCGGGAGGGGGCAGAGTTGACCAAAGTTATTTGTTGAAGTCAACCTGAATGTGCAAAGAGTTTGGGTGCCCTAAAAAAAAATGCATTTTTTGGAATATTTACTATTTGCCAAATAAGCGTGGCCTAGCTCCACTTACCAAAAAAACCCCACACAACCCTCCCCCACCACCTCAAGCCTTGATCAACCAGGCAGGGGAATCAAAACAAGCAAGGGACTTGTGCAGGATGGAAGACTGAAAAAGCATCCCAGCCAAAAACCTGGTTGTGATGGGACCCAAGCTGTTGCCAGTGATGGTGAGGAGAGGAAAGGCTGCTTGCAGGGCCCTTGAGAGTAGAGAGCTGCATGCCAGCTGGTTAATGTTGCAAGGGGATGTGGATTGCAACTGCTTTAAACACTAAGGAGAGGGGATCACCACATGGGAGTGTAAAGGATTGTTTATTCAACTAAAACTGGGAAGGGAGGGGAATCTCGCCCACACTCAATCACACTTACAGTCCCAGGCAGGATGATAAGGCGAGCAGGAGGCAGTTCATATTCTTTCATCTTCCCAAGTTGACTCCTAAGCTGGTCCGCTGGCCAGGCGATCCGAGCAGAGGGCGTTCTGGGAGGCTTCACTTGATGGTCCACCACCACTGTGTGTCTGTCCCTCTCTCCTTCCAGGATCAGCCACATGCAGCCTCTGAGTCTAGGCCTCTTGGGGCCGTGTGCACTCTCTGCTG